AAAGGCCAGCATGCACTGAACATCTAAACATGAAGGGCCTTCTTAAGGGCAAGCACTGCGGGACCCACCTTTGGGGAGAGGAAAAGGAGTGTATCAATGGCCCAGTGGGAGAACTGACAAAGAAGTTAAAGGCAGTCATCACAGCCTGCTGATGATATAATAAAGGCACGTATGAAATGCTACAGACACACAGCAGCCCTAACCCTACCAGCAGAGGTCAGCAAGAAAAGCTGGTGGTAAATCTTGGAGGACAACTAGACGTCCTCAGCGTTGGAGGAATGGGACTGCTCACCGCAAGCAGTGGAAACATCAAGGAGTCTGGCCAACTCACAAGAGCGCAGGCTGCTCGCTCATGTGTGCCTGCCACATACCACTTGGCTTATACACGTTACCTCACTTGAGCCCTACAACATTCTCAGTGGTTAACAATCTCTGTTCAATAAAGAAACTGAGACACAGGGATATTCAGAAATTTGGCTGGTCAACACTTAAACTGAGTGAGATTTAAACCAGGTCTGCCTGATCATAAGGAACTTACCCTTTCACTGGACTAGAATATGCTGACATGTTGAAGTGTTTGATTGAAAATAACTGTGAACCAAGAAGTACTTTAATCAGGAGTAATAATGGACTGGGATTTCGTCTCGGAAAGAATCATTCTAGCAGCGATATGGAGACTAGATTAGAAAGCAGTTAAGACCGAAGGGACAAACCCCACCACCTGCTTTAGTAACTGAAGGTTTGCTGTGCCTAAGTATTTATAAGGCCAGCTTTTATGTCACAATGGCAGAGTTGAGTAGTTTCACCCTTACAACCTGCAAAACTAAAACCATTGACTATTCTGTTCTGTCTGCTGACCCACGTTAAAGCAATAGCTCCTGAGGTAACCCAAGCAAGGGATGACGGAGCCTGAACTAAGGCAAGCAGCGGGGATGGAGAAGCATCTGAGAAACCGGAGAAGCAAGGCTGATCACCAGTGTGACTAACGGAATGTGAGTGGTAAGAAGGAAGCCTCCGGGATTAATCCCAGGTCTCCAGCTCAGCAGTCTGCTTAGGCTGGGGCCAGGATGTGGTAGCTTCCCAGGTGGCATGAGTGGTAAAGAACCCACCTGCCAGTACAGGAGACATAAGAGACTCAGGTTAGATCCCTGGGTCAGGAAGATTCCCTGGAGGAGGGCATGGCAACCAATTCCAGTGTTCCCGCTTGGAGAATCCCATGGACCGAGGAGCATGGCAGGCTACAGTCCATGGGGCTGCAAAGAGTCGGACATGACTGAAGCCACTTAGCACTCCGAACGTGGTAACCTAAATAACAGTCCCCAAATATGTATCTCACACGACAAAAGTGACTTTGCATGGTGATTAAGATCTTGTCGGGAGATTATCCTCCATTATCTGAGTAGACCCTAAATGTAATCAAAGCACCCTGACAAAAAAAAAGGACATAGGCACTTGTGACACAGAACAGAAGGCAGTGGGTCTGTGGAGGCAGAAATTGGACTTCCGCAGCCACAGGCCAAGGAAAACAGCCACCAGAATCTAAGAAAGGCAAGGAACAGAAGTTCCCCTACAGCCTCTAGAGGGAGTGTGTCCCACTGACACCTTGATTTCAACCCAGTTAAACTATTTCAGACTTTTAGCTTCCAGAACTGTGACAGAATAAATTTCTGCTGTTTTAAGTCACCATGTTTGTGGTTAATTTGCCATGGGGGCAATACGGAAATACATACAAGACTGTGAATTTAGGAGAAAGAGATAATGAACTCAGTTTTAGATTTGGGGCATTTAAGGTATTTTATGACACAGTTAAATAAAGACGTCGAGCACCATCAGAGGGGAAAAAAATGATATGAAGTCAGAATAGCTCTGGGTAGAATACAAGGTGTCACAGAAATAAGCCTTGGGATTACATAAGAGAACAGATCAGAGTAAGAAGAAAGGGATGAGGCTCTCCTCTAGAGGCAATTCCAGTCAGATGAAGAAGGGCCCAAAATGTAATCTAACATTAATTTACCTTACAAAGGCTTCTTGAGGTACTGTGTATACAGCAGTAGTAATAAAAATATAACAGGTAAGATGTGGAAAATTTATGCATCAGACATTGTGCAGCACACTTTACATGCATACTTACTAACCACTCATAACTTTCAAAGTTGGGAAAGCAGTACAACAAGGCCGTATATTGTTACCCTGCCTATTTCTTATCTGCAGAGTACATCACACAAAATGCCAGGCTAGATGAATCCCAGGCTGGAATCAAGATTGCCAGGAGAAATAACAACCTCAATACCACTCTAATGGTAGAAAATGAAGAGGAACTAAAGGGCCTCCTGATGAGGGTGAAAAAGGAGAGTGGAAAAGCCAACTTAAAACTCAACATTCAAAAAACTAAGATCATGGCATTCAGTACCATCACTTCATGGCAAACATGAAGGAGAAAAAGTGAAAACAGTGACAGCTTTTATTTTCTTGGGCTCCAAAATCACTGTGGATGGTGACTGTAATCATGAATTTAAAAAACACTTGCTCCTTGGAAGGAAAGCTATGACCAACCTAGACAGCACATTAAAAAGCAGAGACAGCACTTTGCCAACAACGGTCCATCTAGTCAAAGCTATCGTTTTTCCAGTATCATGTACGGATGTGAAAGTTGGACCATAAAGAAGGCTGAGCACCAAAGAATTGATGCTTTCGAATTGTGGTGCTGGAGAAGACTTTTGAGAGTCCCTTGGACAGCAAGGAGATCAAACCAGTCAGCCCTAATGGCAGTCAACCCTAAATATTCACTGGAAGGACTGATGCTGAAGCTCCAATACTTTGGCCACCTAATGTGAAGAGCTGACTCATTGAAAAAGCCCCTGATGTTGGGAAAATTGAAGGCAAAGGAGAAGGGAGAGGCAGAGGATGGCTAGATAGCATTACCAACTCAATGGACATGAATTTGAGGAAACTCCAGATGATAGTGAGCTTCCAAGGTGGCTCAGATGGTAAAGAATCTGCCTGCAATGTGGGAGACCTGGGTTTGACCTGGGAAGATCCCCTGGAGGAGTGCATGGCAACCCACTCCAGTATTCTTGCCTAGAGAATCCCATGGACAAAGGAGCCTGGTTGGCTACAGTCCACAGGGTCACAAAGAGTCAGACACGACTTAGAGACTGAATAACAAGAATACCCATAACTAATGAAGGTAGATACTATTATTCCTTTTAAAGACAAGAAAAGAGAAGCAGAGTAACTTGCCCAAAGTCACTCATCAGGTGAGCAAAGGTGAGGTGCACATGCATGTTCAGTCGTGTCCGACTCTTTGCAACCCCACAGGTGAGCAAAAGCCAGAACCAAATCATCATCATAACTTAAAACCCCCAATCACACACCCAAAAATATATATATGTATACATATGTGTGTGTGTGAGTGTATATATATATACATAAGCCCAAAACAAACTCTAAGCTTTATCTAACCTTACTTTTGATCTAAGGGTTATTTAAAGAAAAGCTATACCAGCATGACACATGATGACTTTAATTCAAGATATGTCCCATATGTTAAATCCCTGATTACACTGCACTAAAAAGAAGCAATCACTGAAAGGCTGAGTGAGGTGGGTGAAGGCCAACAGACATAGAATTTATGGGGAAGGAAAAGAAAGGGTAGTGGCAGCCCCAAGGAGCCTGAGCAGGTAACAGAAGTCAAGAAGTCAAAATGATAACTACAGGGATGCTCACCTGGGAACATCAACTACATTGTAGGATGGTAAAGTATCAGAAACAGACCAGGAATCCAGCTTTTCTATGGCAATTCTCAGATGGGGACAAGAAACAAATTGTTGTCCTTCAGTTGAGAAAATGAAATAAGTGTAGGAAGGATGAGTGATGTTCAGAGACACAATTTCAGCATAATGGTTAAAAGCAAAGGGTTTGGAATCAGAGAAACATGAGTCTAGGTTCCAATGCCACACCACTTACTACATGTGAGAGCTAAAGACAAGTTTCTTATTCTCCTGGATCCTCAAGGTTCTCATCTGTAAAAGGGAAATAAGACCCAATACCTCAGATCAAGTCAAATAATTAATGTAAACCACATGGTGAGTGGCTTACAATGTGTCATTATTTACCATTAGGTTGTATTATTTTTATGAACATTGCAAAACCACTGGAGATGGTGACTGCAGTCATGAAATTAAAAGACACTTACTCCTTGGAAGGAAAGTCATGACCACCCTAGACAGCATATTAAAAAGCAGAGACATTACTTTACCAACAAAGGTCCGTCCAGTCAAAGCTATGGTTTTTCCAGTAGTCATGTATGGATGTGAAAGTTGGACTATAAAGAAAGTTGAGCACCGAAGAATTGATGCTTTTGAACTGTGGGGTTGGAGAAGATTCTTGAGAGTCCCTTGGACTGCGAGGAGACCCAACCAGTCCATCCTAAAGGAAATCAGTCCTGAATATTCATTGGAAGGACTAATGCTGAAGCTGAAACTCCAATACTTTGGCCACCTGATGCAAAGAACCTAATGATGAGAAAGACTGAAGGCAGGAGGAGAAAGGGACGACAGAAGATGAGATGGCTGGATGGCGTCACCGACTCAATGGCCATGAGTTTGAATAAACTCCGGGAGTTGGTGATTGACAGGGAGGCTTAGCGTGCTGCAGTAGTCCCTGGGGTCGCAAAGAGTCGGACACGACTGAGCGACTGAACTGAACTGATAACTATTACAGCAATTAATCTCCCTATGCTTAAGCACTACTACATTTTCCCCATTAATTTATAAAACCGCTCTAGTGAGCCAGAGGGCGGCCTGGTCGGTCAGGAGGCCTGGGCTTGGCACCCAGCAGACCACTTGTGGCCTCAAAAGGGTCCCCGGGGGCACCTCTCATCCCAGCCCCTTCTCCTGCTCCCCAGGCAAGGTCCCAGTGCCCGGTCGGCCCGCTCGCCCGTGCGGCCCAGTGCGGCAGGGACATGCGGCCCCGCGCCCCCTCCCCGGCGCCGGCCTTACCTTCTCGTAATTCTCCATGAGGCGGCTGATAACCTCGCGCTCGACCTGCCACTCGGGTTTCTTCTGCTGCTTCCTCATCTGCTTCTTTTGGCTCTGCTTGTGGCTGTGTTTCTTCTTCCAACGATTGAAGCTCCGCACCGGGTCGGGCCGGGCTCCCGTAGCCCGAGAGTCCGCTGTTTTTCCCATCGCGGCGGCGGCGGCGACAACCCACACCTCGGTGAGACTCTAGACCCCTCTGGCCAAGCGCGGAGATAACGCACTGAGAGGACGCGGAACCAGCGTGGGGCGAGAGGACGACTGCGCAGGCGCGAAACCAGGAGCCCGCCCCCGGGCTTTTAAAACCGGGGCACGCGCGGTCCACGACCAGGGAAAACTGGATGGTGATTGGCGACTTGGAATTCGCGGGGCGGAGCGAATCAGTCTCGGATGGAAGTGGAGGCGGGGCAATCTGAGGAAGAGGGCGGGGCTGAGTGGCTCCTAAAGCACGCCGTCGCTTTACAGAGGCGCATGAGCCCAGCTTGCTGTTACTATGGTGACGTCATACAACTTAACTCTTAAAAGGCTGTTACTTTGCCATGTCTTTTCCTTGGCAAACCGCAGGCTGACACACACCCCCCAACCCCCAGTATACACACACACAAAATCGGTGAATTGGAATTGTGATCCTCGTTTTGCACGTTTCAGCCCAAGGAGCGGAATGATTTGCTGTTGTGTTAATTATTTGTTGTTGTTTTTAAATATTTTACCCTCTAAGTATAGAGTCAATGGGGCTTCCCAGGTGGCTCACCGGTAAAGAATAAACCTAGGAGATGCAAGTTCATTCCCTGGGTCGGGAAGGTCCCCTGGAGTAGAAAAGGCAGCCCACTCCAGTATTCTTGCCTGAAAAATCCCATAGGCAGAGGAGCTTGGCGGGCTACAGTCCCTGGGGTTGCAAAGTCCGACACGACTGAACGAGCAAGCATGCACATTGTCTTTATTCCAAAGCACTAATAATTGCGTGTATGCTTTTGAAATCCAACTTCAATTTTGAATGTTTAACATTTTGCTGACACACATTTTCATTCTCTTTGTCATTTCTTGAAACATGATAAATACCAATCTTTGCACCCATTTGCATTTTTTTTAATTCATTGATAGTTTTAATAAGAATAAATTCCTTCAAGATACAATAAACAGAATCTAGTAAGTTTTCACTGTTTTAGGAAGTTTCTATTTTTTAAAAAGTTTCCAAAACTTCCATCTGTGCTTTTTATTTTTATTTTTTAATATGTATTTATTTGGCTGTGTTGGGTCTTCATTGCAATAAAAAGCTTAAGAGCTTTGTATTTTATCTCAAATGTGTAAAAGTTTGAAAGAATATATACCCCCAAAAAACTGCTAAACTTTAACATTGACTATTTTTGCCTAATGACATTTTATGAGAACAAGGAAACATGTACTGTTACATAATCATCTAATTGCTAAATGATTGTTGTAAAATATGTACTTTGGGGATCTTATTTTGACTGCAGAATCAGAGGATTTCCCCCACACACACACTTTTTTTAAACAAATCTGAGGTTTAACAAATAACAAATGTTGGCAAGAATGTAGGAAAAAGGGAACCCTCATACAGTGTTGGTGGGAATGTAAATTGGTGCAGCTGGGAAACATTATGGAGGTTTCTCTAAAAACGAAAAATAGAACTATCATAGGACCCAGCAATTCCACTTCTGGGTATGTATCTGGAAAAAAGAAAAAACATTAGTTCAAAAAGATACATGCACCCCAATGTTCATAGCAGCATCATTCACAGTTGTCAAGATATGGCAGCAACCTAAATATCCATCAAGAGACGAATGAATAAACAAGTGGTAGTGTACATATATACATACACATATATATACATACATACACATATGTGTATATGATGGAATATACATATACAATGTATATCCCATCCATACACAACGGAATATTACTCAGCCATAAAGAAAGAATGAAATTTTGCCATTTGCAGCAACACGGATGGACTTGGAGCACATTAAGCCAAGTGAAATAATCAGACAGAGAAAGACAAATACTGTATGATATAACTTATATGTGGACTCTAAAAAGCACAACAAACTAGTGAATAAAACAAAAAAGAAGGAGGCTCACAGATATAAAGAACAAACTAGTGGTTACCAGTTGGGAGAAGGAATTGAGGAGGGGCAAAATAGGGTTAGGTGATTAACAGGTACCAACTATTTAGGTTTAAAATAAGCCACAAGTACAACATACAAAATATAGCCAATATTCTATAATAACTATAAATGGAGTATAACCTTTAAAATTATGACTTGTTATATTGTACACCTTTAATTTATATAATATTGTACATCAATGATACTTCAATTTTAAAAACTTGGTAGTTTTACTAAAATATGTTTCAGAGTTAACTGCTACCAGTCAATTTTTTTCCAGGCACAGAATCTCTTTAATAGTAGTTCTTTAAGTTTTTCTGCTGTCTATAATGTAACTGCTTCTTTACATTGTTACTGAAATTAAATATTGTTTAATTTCAAGAGAGTCCCACAACAGCTGAATAACCTGGCCTAGGAAGCTAAAAGATGATTCCATCTAAGTCCTCTTATCATGTAAAAATAACAATTTATGGTAAATCAATCCAATTATATGTCAACTTTTTACTAAAAAGGAAATTAACAAAGCAAATGTTTATTCAGAAAAAGAAATCCCTCTGTTTCTTTGTATCTTATCAACATCATCAGTCTGAAGTCATTCTTAGGACACAACACATCTTTGGAATTTCAGAAATTGCATCTTAAGTTGTTTCCATCTTCTTTAAATCATATCCTCTAAAACTTGGCGGAGTCAACCTACAACCACCTTAATCCCAGAGAGCCAGAGTGTATGAAACCTCTCTGACATTTTCAACAACAAAAATATATCTGCCTAATTGGCTGGAACACATAAACTATTTAAAAGAAGACCAAGAAGTTCTGGCCCACCACAGCTGCTCTGTTGCTAACCACAGCCAGGAGTCATGAATCAATTAGCCTATCTATGCACACATTTGTTCGTAAGGAGAGAAATACCTGTACTCTGAAACCTATCAGATGCTGGTGAAAGAAATCAAAGAAGACATAAACAGATGGAAAGATATACCATGTTCATGGATTGGAAGAATAAGTATTATTCTTAATACTGATTATTAAGTTGTTTCTCAATCAAAATAACTATACTCCCCAAGGCAGTCTACTGATTCAGTGCAATCCCTATAAAATTACCAGTGACATTTTTCACAGAAATAGAACCAAAAACCTCAAAATTTGTATAGAGACACAAAAGACTCCAAATAGCCAAAGCAATCTTGAAAAAGAAAAACAGAGCTGGAGGAATTAGGCTTCCTGACTTCAGACTATACTGCAAAGCTCTGGTCATCAAAACAATTTGGTCCTGGCACAAAAATAGAAATATAGATAATGGAATAGGATAGAAAAACCAGAAATAAGTCCATGCACCTGTGGTCAATTAATCTATGAGGAAGGAGATAAGACTACACAATGTAGGAAAGACAGTCTCTTCAACAAATGGTGCTGGGAAAACTGGACAGTTGTATGTATAAAAAATAAAATTAGATCATTCTTAACGCAATACACAAAAATAAGCTCAAAATGAATTAAATATCTAAACATGAGACCAGACACTATAAAACTCCTAGAGGAAAACATAGACAGAACACTCTGATATAAATCACAGAAACATCTTTTTCAATCCATCTCCCAGAATAATGGAAATAAAAGCAAAAATAATCAAATGAGACCTACGTAAACTCAAAAGCTTTTGCACAACAAAGGAAACAATAAACAAAGAGTAAAGGAACCAACATGTTGGGAGAAAATATTTGCAAATGATGTGACTGATAAAAGATTAGCCTCCAAAATTTACGAACAGATTATGATACTTAATAGCATCAAAATAAACAACCCACTCAAAAAATGGACAAAAGACCTGAATAGACGTTTCTCCAAAGAGGACATACAGATGGACAATAGGCACATGAAAAGGTATTCAACATCGCTAGTTATTAGGGAAGTGCAAATCAAAACTACAATGAGATATCACCTCACACAAGTCAGAATGACTATCATCAAAACATCCACAAAAAACAAATGCTGGAGAGGGTGTGAAGAGGAGGGAACCCTCCTCCACTGTTGGTGGGAATGTAAACTGGTACAGCCACTATGTAAACAGTATGGAGGGTCTAAAATAGACTAAACTAAATATTGAGCTACCATATGACCCTGCAATCCCACTCCTGGGCATATATCCAGAGAAAAACATGGCCCCAAATGATACATTCACCTCACTGTTCATTGCACCACTGTTTGCAACAGCCAAGACATGGCAACAACCTAAATGTCCATCGACAGAGGAATGGATAAAGATGCGGTACATACACACAATGGAATACTACTCAGCCATTAAAAAGAATGAAATAAGGCCATTTACAGCGACATGGATTGACCTAGAAAGTGTCATACTGAGTGAAGTAAGTTATAGAAGGAGAGAAATAATGACATCCCTTTTGTGAGGAATCTGAAAAGAAATGATACAGATGAACTTACTTATGAAACAGAAAGAGACTCATAGACTTAGAAAACAAATTCATGGTTGCCAGGTGGAAGGAATAGCCAGGGACTTTGGGAAGGTCATGTTCACGCTCCTATATTTAAAATGGATAACCAACGAAAACCTGTTGTATAGCACATGGAACTATGCTCAATGTTATGTGCCAGCCTGGATGGGAGAAGGGTTTGGGGGAGAATGGATACATGTATATATATGGCTGAGTCCCTTCACTGATCACCTGAGACTATCACGACATTGTTAATTAGCTACCCCCCAATACAAAATGCTTTTGGTGTTAAATAGATAAATAACACTAAAAAATATCTAATTCTGCAAGTATGAAATGGAAACTAAACAATCTGATGTGATCAGCCAGATCAACCAGTCTGCACATTGCTTTTTGTGAACCTCTGCTCTAATAGATTATAATTAATCATAACAACTGGGGCTTTCCTGATGGCTCAGATGGTAAAGAATCTGACTGCAATGCAGGAGACCCGGTATTTATCCGTGAGTCAGGATGATCCCCTGCAGGAGGGCATGACAACCCATTCCATTATTCTTGCCAGCAT